GTATCACTAATAGTTTCAAGCTATTTGGTTCTCTTAGCATTCTGAGAACCCCAACCGACCGAGCAGTCTACATCGCTGTATGTGACTGGCTCAAAACAACTGTCAGAGAGACTTCATGGATTGATTTGATCACTTCTAACTCTTTCCCAACGTATTCCTATGTTCCCTAACACATTGCTCATCGAAGAAGGCGTCGGCTTGACATGCTCTGGAACATATCTTAACCGTCTCAGTTGATATAGCTTCACAGCCTTATTGATTGGCTTGCCGTCATTACACCTAACACTCGATGCCTAACCTCAATATTACTCATCATATCAGAATACTTAACATGAAAAGTGATGCAAAGGCTCGAGAACATAATTCTACCAAAGATCAAACCCAAGATTTGGATACGCTACGTAGACGACACATTTGTAATTATCAAAAGAAACGAGTTAGATAAAGCTCACAACCTGATAAACAACGTCTTCAACGACATCAAATTCACAAGAGAAGAGGAATCAGAAAACCAAATCCCATTTTTGGACGTCTTAGTCAAGCGAACAACGACAGGGGAATTAGAAACTCAAGTCTATAGAAAATCAACTCACACAGACCAAATCCTGAATTACAACAGCAACAATCCAATAGCACACAAGAGGAATTGCATACAAACACTATTCAAGAGAGCCAGGACTCATTGCAGCACTCCCACCTGAAAAAAAATTGAAGAAAAATATCTCGTGGACGTTTTCCAAAAGAATGGATATCCACGAAATTTCATAAAAAGACATATACCCCCAAGCCAACCTATCAAACCAAAAGCCCCCAAGGAAAGCACAAAGAAAATCGCCTTACCATATATAAAGGACATCTCAGAAATCACTACAAGACTCGTCAAACCTTTAGGAATTGATGTCGTACGCAAACTAACAAAGTCACTTCATTCAATTCTATGTCAACCAAAAGACCAACATCATCTACAAAATAGATTGTATCAACTGCGAAAAACACTACATTGTCCAAAGTGGACGTCCTCTTCGTCTTCGTATCCACGAACATAAACTAGCTGTCAAAAGACATGATATCCACTCCCTCATATCACTACATACAAACAACCACGGGCATCAATTCGACTGGGACAACGTTCAAATATTAGATAGAGGAAACAACAAGAACGCTAGAGAATTTTTAGGAGGTTGGCATTCCAGTGAATCGTCAACCAATAGACACATCGAAATAGACAAAATTTATCAACCGATAAGAAAGAAACCTCACACACAAAGGGTCAAAGTTCAAGTCAAAGAAACAATGAGTGACAATACAAGTAACCTAGAAGGTGTGAAAACACACAAAAACAACCAATCACGTCCAAGGTCACCCGCTGGGAGAGATGATTAATAAACTCGTGGAGAAATCTAAAAGCTCACTTCGACAGATTGAAGTATGCGTTGAAGATGTCACCTAGTAGAGTGATGAAAGCTTCGCACATTAACTATCCAGCTCAGAGAACACAACCACATCAAAATCATCCACCTGAGCTACAAATCTTCTCGATCATATCCAACATGAAAAGTAGAACGCAAACTCCTGTGATTTAAAACGACTATTGTTTTCACATTTTCCACTCTCAACGGCCATGCCTCACAATCGTAAAGACATAGAGGGGACTGCTACGCAGTAAATACGTTCTTTGATGGATAACCAGATATATCACGTGTATGCCAGAGTTGATGTATGTCCGTTGGCAAATGTCACGTGATTCTCTTGCGTCTCTATTGTTAGCGAGCAGTCCACTAGGGCTGGCGACATTAATTGAATTAGTGAAGCGGTCAACTTCCTTTCTTGTGCACAGTCTTTTATCATCCTTGTATATCTATTTGTGCGTCGGTGGCATAGTGGTTAGGACGCTCGCCAACTATGCACATGGTCCGGGGTTCGATCCCGGCCACCGACGCACTCCTTTACCTCGCTAAGCCAGAAATAATGCAGGTGAAGAGGAAGGGTTGGGCATATGAGGCTAGCAACCCCATCCTGTAAAATAAACACTTCTACAGAAACTTCAAGCCTCTAGCTTGAAGCCCTATGTTCCACTGGGGAACGTGAAGGTAAAAAAATATCTATTTCGTTTTCCTGTATCCCTTTATAAAGTGTGACAACTTAAACTGATGCTCTCCTCAGCAAAATTCTACTAATAAAGCTATTATTTTTATTATTATTACTCTTTTTGTCTTCTGTGTACCAAATTATTATGTCTTGCGGGTTTAGTTGAGGTTAGTAATTATTATTGACTTTTTTTCAGTCGATAGGTTTTTATAGACTTGTTTTCAATGAAGTGTTAATTTTAGTTACTTCTCGATTCACGAATAATCCCCATTCAGACATTTGAATGAAAACATCTACGTGTTTTGTTTTCAAACTCCAGTTACTCTCTTTCTTCTAGGATTGTACTAGTTAATACGGACTATTTCAGTAGTTAGTTAGCGTTGAAATGTTTTGTAGACGAAAAATGTTTTTTTCTTCTTCGTTTCACTTCAGTTACCTAAACTTATACACTTTCGTTCCTTCGAGTCATAGAGACTGTCTACGCTTCAATAAATGAAGTGGGATGTTGTTTTTTTCCTTCACCTTCCCCAGTGGAACACAGGTGGCTTTAAGCTAGTGGCTGGCTTGAAGTTTCGGTAGCAGTGGTGTTTATTTTACAGGATGGGGTTGTGCTAGCCTCATATGCCCAAGCCTTCCTCTTCACCAGCATTATTTCTGGCTTAGCGAGGTGGTAAAGGAGTGCATCTGTGACTGGGGATCGAACCCCGGACCATGTGCATGGTCGGTGAGCGTCCTAACCGCTATGCCACCGACGCACAAGTGGGGATGTATAGGATGTATAAATCAACGGTACAAATTGGATGTTGAAATAAAAAATGTTCCGACAACGAAATAAATTCATGGACCGACGATGTGAATTGTTAAGTGAACTATCTATCAGCTAGCTGATATGAGCTGTGAAATATTGTCAAGAATTATTATTAATAAGACTCTGTGTTCAATGGTTGAAATATCATCCTTGTTACTTGTATACGTTGATTTCTCTTGTTTTTCATTTTGTTTTCTCTGTATCCTGAGTTTAACTCTGAGAAAGGAAGTCGGTGGATTTCTTCACAATACCTAACATTTTAATCTTTTTCTTCTCTCCTCCTTTACTGGAATCAAGTATTCTGAATTATAACTATGTGAAGAGGGTGTGAAAATATACAGCATATGAGTGTGATAATAGTGAATTAATTATTAAAGCAAAAGCAAACTAAAAGTAAGATTAAAAAATTACAAAAAAGGAAAGAAAAATCAAAGTTTTTTAAACAGGGAACGATTAATGAGAAGGTTAAGACCAAGGTAGAATAAGAGACTGGACAAACTTTTTCTATATACAGAGTTCAGGGTTTTATTGATGAATTGCCAGCGCCTCCGCCATACACAAAAGCTGAAACCTGACGCCCTTTGCACCATTTAGCTCCACTTTGTAGATAATCTCCGATGGAGCTACGTGTCCTGAGTTCACCAAATGCTCGAGAATTGAGCCAATAATTGTCTTACACTGTCCCTTTGCTAACCATGCTGGATAATATTCAGAGATGCGTTTGGAAAGCGTGCGCTTTGTGCGGCCAATATAACTAGCTCCGCACAAGTAGGTGAATTTATAAACACACACTGAGGTGGCCCAAAGCGGCAGTTTATCCTTCACACATCCGTTGATCATTTGTCAGCTGTAGAGATTGATACGTAGCTCAGCCATAAAGAAGGCTTTCCTCAGTGATCTGCATAAGCAATTCTTCAGGATCTCAGCTGCGGTATCACCTTTTAATTCAACACTCATAAACAGTAGTTTCTTTGGCACCGTCTGTATTCTTTCAGGCTTTTCCCTTAACTTCATGTTTTTCTCGATAAATCTTGGAGGATATCCATTCTCTATGAGGACTTTTCTGAGTCCGCCCCAGTTCCTCATCGATAGTATCACTTGAACATATCCTCCTTATTCTTGAGGTTAATGAATGGATCAGATTTCTCTTTCTTCTCAAAGGGACCCAGCTATGGAAATTTGTGTACTGACCATTCCATGTTGGTTTCCTGTAGATCGATCTTTGAAGAGAACCATCAGATCTCCTCTTTAGAAAAACACCCAAAAAAATGGAATTCCGAGTTAATCTCTAATTCTGACGTGAACTTGATGGCATGATGGCAGCTGTTGAACTCTTTAGTTATCAATTCAATGTCGGTATTCTCGTCACATATGATGAATGTATCATCCATGTATCTTTGGTACAGATGGAAACTGTCGATAGTAGGCCGTAAAATACTATGTCTTAATCGCTAGATTTTGTCACGAACCAATATCAATTAGAAAGATCTTTGAAAAACAGGGAGAACTGGACGTCTGTTTCGTCTTATTTTGGGACTCTTCATCGGTGCAACTCTACCAGGGATCGAACCCTGGGACTTGTAGGTTACAAGACTAAGGTCGTTGACCATTCAGTCACTTGGTCTGGAATTCAGTGATCTGTGAATCCTAACTTTGTTAGCTCGTGATGTATGTAGCACTACCCTCAATCAATGCCTTCAGTGAGCAGCATCCACTTCACTTTGACACGACATCTTAGCTACAAGACATTAGTCGAGTAGCTGTCAATGTAGATTATGGTTTCTGTGGACATTTGGATTAATTTCAATTGTTAGATTTCATCACAGACTAACATCATCAGTCAACGATCTTGGTCTCGTAACTTGATGGTTGCTGGTTCGATTCCTGGTGGGGTTGTAGGTTCGCACTTCTATAGAGTCCCAAAACAGGATGAAACAACTGTCCTGTGCTCCCTGGATTCAATTATCTCTCCAACTGATGTTGGTGCGTGACAAAATCTAAAAAATAAATTGAATTTAGATAACTATATTTCTTAGTTTGTCGGTGGTAGTTTCCCTTATAAATTTCTCTCTTTTCCCCCTGTACTTTATTTTTCTTGTTTTAGGTTTCCACTACACTGAGACCTGATATAGTCAATAATCAAACTGTTGACACCATCAAAATGACAAAGTCTCGGCGCAAGTCATCATCAAATCCAAAAGATAATCTAAGCAATAATAATATAGATATATCACAACGAAATGGTATTAATACTATTGAAGAAGGCGGCAGTGTCGTTGAACCGGGTGATGTTGACAACGATGATGATGCTGATGAAGAAGAAGATGTTGACGTGAACTTTAAACCGAAACAAATCAGTCAAGAAGTTAATCAATTATTTTGTGTTAAAATTACAGCCAGGTTTGTTTGTTTATTTATATTTGTCCGCTTTACACTATCAGCCATACAGTTTTTATCTTGCTTTCATCTGTACCGTTTAATTTGCCTTTGACTCATTGGTAAACTGTCGCTTGGCTGAGAGGTTACTTCATTCTCTTATCTACGGAACATTCTCTCAACTACAGGCAGGTGGAACGGACGAGGATGTCAAATCGAGAATCGAGAAGGCGAGAAACACATTCATCAACCTGAAACCAATCTGGAAATCTTCCGCTGTCACTCAACTCAGCATCAACAACAACGAAATTCGGATTTTCAATACAAACGTCAGTCAAGTCAGTCACTTCTTCTATACGGATGGATCAGAAACTTGGCCAGTGGGTCACAAAGAATGAGTATTTCCAACAGCCTGTTGCAGACCTTTATCAACAACTAACTAACTGTCTTCGCTGGCTCTATACTGAAGATCAATCAGATGGCCGCCGGAAAAAGCAAGAACCAACAAGAAACAAACAAACTATGGGAAGAAACAAAACAAGAACCACTCGCTCAACAGATACGCAGGAGAAAGTGGAGATGGATTGGACACTCACTCGCTGGCTGAGGAGGCCACTCGCTGGGTGACATCGCGAGTCAGGCCAACGCTCGAGTGTAAGCCGAAAGGGAATCGGCGGTGAGTGGGACGTCAGTGGAAGGGTGACATGGAGGAGATCGTGTGAAGAGGAGTTGAGAGAGTATGGACTAACATGGATGCAGGTGAAGAGTACAGCAGAATAGAGAAGCAAGTGGAGACGTGTAGTTGAAGCCCTATGTTCCACTAGGAACCCAAGGGAACAATAATAATAATAATTTGCAGCGAAACTCCGTCGAGATGAATAAAACTAGTGAGCCTGTCTTCTTCATTGACTTTTCCACTGACACACAAGACTTTGTTCGATTTACTACCCATATCTATTTTTGTTATAAGTAGGACACACCACAAGTGTGACTAACCCTCAGAGAATATGTGTGGCTCATTGTCAACTGTCTGTATGCAGGTGATGGTTATTGAGTCTCATGTCATTTAAAAAAAAAGAGTTGATTATGCTTCAGTTCTTTTGGCGCAAGGAGAGTCATCGTACTGTAGCAACTTTGTTTACAGCATAAATGGAAGGAACCTGTAAGAAACAACCTCTTTTACCTACCTACCTGGGAGGCATCGTTTCAACTACAGGTGGACGGAACCGATTAATATACCAGAGCAAGAATCGGAAAAAGCAAGACAAGCTGGTTCTGCGTACTGCTGAAGAGTCCCAAACTAGGACGAAACAGCTGTCCAGTACTCCCAGGTTTTCCAATGGTTCTCTAACTGATGTCAGCTCATGATGAAATCCTCCATGCAATCATCTAATTACCTTTTATTTCTTTTGGTACATTTACAAAAATTCCTTCAATATGGTAAATTTCCTACTTTCACATTTCAGATCTTCGACAAAAATATTCGCAATCAGCTGTTTACGTGTCCTTATCTCCAGTTGTGCTAAACTGTGCAATGCTTCACTGTTAACTGAGAATTACCAATCCAATCAAATATCATCAATGAATAATTATTATGATGAGACAAGTGATGTAATCGTTAATCCTAGTTCAGTGGCTCACTTTGATCTAGCTAAGGCTAGAGCGCTTCGTTCACAATCAGGCAAATCTGATTGGCTTATTCTCTATCTCTCAGATTTAATTCGTATAGCTTTTATGTCAGCCACCTCAGAAAGTGATCGTCTGCGTATCACAGGTTTAAAGTTGATGCAAGATGTTGTTCAGCGGTTTTCTCCAGTACCAGATCCAGACTATCCAGGTAACTAAGTGTAAATTTCACCTATCTATCCATTCATTCATTGCAATATTATATTGATTGATTAAAAATGCCCATTAAAATTTTCAAAAGAATGGACATGGAACAAAGAGTACTCTTTTCGGTAACCCCTTCATCATCAGGTTCTACAATTATATATACATTATAATGAATGAATGAATTAGTGTTATGAACAACATTAGTGCTGTTTAAATAACATCGAATCAATAATATTGATAGATTACAGCTGAACAGCATCAACATAAAATAAGCTGAATGTCAGAAAAATTAGGAAAGATAATATTACAAATTCATGAATTTCTAGTCTCTACTGAAGGCCGGTCAGGGCAGTAGTAGTGGCTGGCTGGACTGGCTTCCTTTGAACACAGAGCACTGGTTGTTTGAGGCGAATTGCAATAGCCTCTGGTGTTTGGAGTTTGCGGTGCTTCGACGATTTTGGTAATTTGTTAGGCGCCCGGTATATTATCGAGAAGGATTCTTCCACGCTGGCTGGCTGGCTTTGTGGCTGGTTTGCACCAGATGGTCCAATATCGAACTGTTCATGATGGTTTTCACTACACCTTTACTTAGCCATAGTGGGATATGTTCTCGAGAGTGCACGAAAAATCCAGTTCCTAGAGCAACGGCCAACATAACTCTCTCCACAAGCGCAGTTGAATTGATAGATACAATTTAACGTGGCTAGCTAGTCTAGGTACTTCATCTTTCAGTCGAGGTAGCACCATCGGTAGTGGTGTAGAGAATAATACGTGTGGTTCACCAGCATTAAAAGTTCTTTCAACTGATTTTCTTAATTTCTTCGTAATTAACTCGCTCGGTATATCGCCCATGAATTGTAGTCGTATATAAAGTGGCTTCTTGCTTTTTTCGCTATGCATATCAGTCTATGCTATTGTGTAAAGTTTGGTCTTTGTTAACTATTTATTTTTATAATAGCGTCTTATAATGGAAAGGCTTATGGAAATTTAGCTTATTTAACTAAGTACTAACTAAGTCTTAAACGATCCCGATCTTGGCAACTTAAGAGTTTCAGATACGACGACCCAATTAGGAACCTATTACCCCGAAAATATGCGGAAGAAGAAAATGGAGGCTGATTGGACAGGATTTTGAGTGAAACCCGAACGGGAGCTACCGAGGGTGAGCAGGAGGTGAGATTGTTTCCTTTTAGTTCCTAGAGGAACATAGGGCTGAAGCCACACGTCTCCATTGCGTTCGGTTCTCGGCCAACGTTTTCACCTGGCTCCACGTCTACCTACATGCTTTCATCTCCTCCATATTACCCTCACATTGACGACCAACTTGCCGCTTCCCATTCGGGTTCCACTCGAGAGATGGCTTGGCGTGTGATGTCACTCACTTGATGGTTTGTTTTCTCAGAGTATGGCCAGCCAATCCACCTCCATTTTTTCCTGCATATTTGTTGCACAATTGGTTCCTGTTGGATTGGTTCGTTCATTCGCTCCCAGAGATCCCTCTCTGTTGCTGATCTTTTCTGGCCAGCCATCTGATCTTGAGTATTGAGTGAAGACAGCTGTTAGTGAAAGTCTGTAGTTTGTTCGAAGTTCCCTTCGTGACGCGTGAGGTGAGAACTTATGGGTAATCCTAGAGTTAACTAAAAAGACTGCTGAGAACACAGTGAAAAGGCGATGTTCTTCTAAAGGCCCAAGGGACGAATACGAATAATAATAATTACATATTATGAAGTTTATCTCATGTTGCATAGTCTCATGTTTTCATGCATGGCGTAATTGGATTCTATAAAATTTTAACTAAAGTATAATTAGGACAAAAGCAATCCTTGTTTTTTATATCATGGCGTGGAATCTTCATTGCTAACATAATTTATCACAGAAATAATTGTAATCCCAACTTAAATGCCTGGATATAATCTAAGACAAGCCTTAGTCCCACACTTCTTACTCGTTGATGCTTGTTGGTAAGGTGTAGTGTTTCTGCAGTGTTAGCGGAACTGATGCTCCTCTTTAGAGTCTGTAGTTTGTAATTAGCCAACGTTAACATCTTAGACTGTAGCCTTGGATATTGGGGGTTTGAATGTGAATAAGACATTTAGAAGACAAATTTCGCGAGATGACATCGTCATTTCGAGTAGTTTCTTTACAACCGCTTTACAACTAACATGGTTAACAATAATAAAATAAAGTTCATGACAATTACTCAGTGAAATAAAAAAAACAAAAGTACATACTGATGACCAATCATATACAATAGGTCATGTGGTCCATGGTAGGTGAAAATTGAAGTCTATTGTTTTCTTTGTACACACAGTTTAGGCTGTATGTGATCAATCCAAAGTGCTTCTACCACCTGCAATAACCAACCTTGAATAAGAGTTATGTGAAATAATTGTGAGACAGTCATTAATTAATATTGATTTTGTGACCTGACTGACATTAATAAGTGTTTTGCAATGGATGATGCTGGATTTCTATTCAGATTACTGGCATTGGGATTTTATATATGATTTAGTAGCCATTTTGGAACATGTTCTTTCTGACGACTGTATCTACAAGTTCACCTGCAGCTGCGGTGACACCTATATAGGTAGAACCAACAGAATGTTCCAATGTCGTCGGAAAGAACATGTTCGAAAATGGCTCCTAAATCATACAGAAAATCCCAATGCGAGTAATCTGAATAGAAATCCAGCGTCATCCATTGCAAAACACTTATTAATGTCAGTCAGGTCACAAAATCAATATTATTAATGACTGTTTCACAATTATTTCACCACATAACTCTAATTCAAGGTTGTTTATTGAAGGTGATGGAAGCACTTTGGGGATTAATCCCATACAGCCTAAACTGTGTGTACAAAAAACAATAATAGACTTCAATCTTAGCCTACCATGGACTACATGACCTGTTGTAAATATGATTGGTCATTAGTATGTACTTTTGTTTTGTTTTATTTCACTGAGTAATTGTCATGAACTTTATTTTATTATTGTTAACCATGTTGGTAGTTGTAAAGCGGTTGTAAAGAAACTACAAGAATGACGATGTCATCTCGCGAAATTTGTCTTCTAAATGCCTTATTCAAATTTATCAAACTGGGACTAATTGTTTTAATTAACTCTCTTTGAATGTGTTAGTTCCTTCGAGAAGTCACATTACTAAGCAATCGAAACGGATCAACTAGAGTAGGTCTAGATAAAAAAAAAGTGATGCTTTACTATTATTGTCTTCTAATCACTATTAATTAAACATCCGAATCTCTGTTCTCCCGACCTCCATAGATCATATTATTCTGGAACAGTATCAAGCTCAAGTGTCTGCTGCATTACGACCTGCTTTTATATCTACCTCATTATCATCATCGATGGATTCATCAGAGAATACTACTACAATTACAGAAGTGTCCACGCCAAGCATTTCTACTTCATCCAGTAGTGTACAGTCTAATCCTGAACTGCTTTCTATAGCTTGTCAAGTTTGTAGTACATGGATCACTTCTGGAGTTGGTCGTGATCCAGAAGATTTACGTCGTGTACAAGATCTATTGAAACAAGCATTGAATAAATTGAAACTTGATCAACCAACTAAAGAAGATCATTCATTATCATCTCAATGGATGTCAGAAAATTCGACAATTGTTGAAAGATTATCGATTTTAGCTGCTTGGGCTGAAATTTATATTGTAACCGCTGGACAGGCTAAAAAGTTCGGAGGTAAACTACACCAGAAACAACATCTAGAAACAAGTCAGTCACAGGCGTTAGATGAAGACCAGCAGCCTATAGATGAATCAGATGAAATGAATGCTAGTGAGAATGAAGATGAATCCGATTATAGCATGATCATAAAAGGGATATCATTAGAGGATATATTATCTACTGGTGAGTGGTGTTGATATTTAATTTATTTTTTATTTGTTTTTTATAAGTAGTCCTTCTGCTGAAGTAACCTCGATAATGACTGGAAATACACTAAGACAGCATGGATCACAATTACCTTTGATTTATGGATGATTTATTTGTGCGTTGAAGGTTTTGTAGCAATTTGGTTAAGTTTTGGAGGTGGAGTTGCTAGCACCACGCCCCAACCCTCCCTCTTTATCCGGGCTAGGGACTGGCTAGAAAACTAGTGAGCTAGTAATCTAGGCGAGGTTTCCTAATTATCGTGGACTGGATTATGCGTCAGATAGTGGGAAACGAGAAGACAGGGATATCCTGGACCAACGTGAAGAACCTAGAAGACCTGGATTTCGCCCGTGGATGATTTATGTTTGATGTCACACAAAATCGAAGACTTACAAGCGAAAACCAACAAAATGGTCGAAGAAGCAGCAAAGACAGGACTCCAGGTGAACATAGACAAGACGGAGGTTATGAAATTAACCAACCAACCAACAACAACAGCAACATCCACCACCAATCACCATCAACGGGAGGGATTTGATGAAAGAGGTTACTTCATTCACTTATCTAGGGAGCAGAGCATTGTCTCAACTACAGGAGGAACGGATGAGGATGTCAAATCGAGAATCGGGAAGGCGAGAAACACATTCATCAACCTGAAACCAATCTGGAAATCTTCCACTGTCACTCAACTCAACATCAACAACAAAATTCGGATTTTCAATACAAACATCAATCAAGTCAGTCAGTTAGTTCTTCTATACGGATGGATCAGAAACTTGGCGGCGAGTCACAAAGAATGAGTATTTCCAACAGCCTGTTGCACACCTTTATCAACAACTAACGAACTGTCTTCGCTGGCTCTATACTGAAGATCAATCAGATGGCCGCCGGAAAGAACAAGAATCACCAACAAGAAACAAACAAACTAAGGGAAGAAACAAACGAAACAAGAAGCAATCGGCGAACAAATATGCAGGAGAAAGTGGAGATGGATTGGACACTCACTGGCTGGCTGAGGAGGCCACTCGCTGGGTGACATCGCGCGTCAGACCGACGCTCGAGTGGAAGCCGAAAGGGAAGCGGCGGCGAGTGGGACGTGAGCGCAAGGGTGACATGGAGGAGATCGTGTGAAGAGGAGTTGAAACAGTTTGGATTAACATGGATGCAGGTGAAAAGTACAGCAGAATACAGAAACAAGTGGAGACGTGCAGTTGAATCCCTGTGTTCCACTAGGAACCCAAGGGAACAATAGTAATAAAAAGATGGATGATTTAACCAAGTGGTCAAGCACACGAAGGACATTGCCAGCAGCCAACCAGAGTGAGCCATGCTCATTTAGGAGAAAAATGTTTGAGGAAGTGTAAGAATACACTGATTGATCACTAGAATGAAACCACTGTCATGCTTCTAGGATTGTGTGAGCTTTCCCAGCCACTTATCGGATACAGAATGCACCCTTTGCGAAAATGGATGGGATGCAGACTTATAGGCGGTCAGTCTTAATCCCTCAGATAGTAGCTTTACATCACTGACGTTTTGATCAGGCACATACATCAGTCGTCTGAACTTGTGGTTCCTCTCGAGCTAAACAGGATAAGCACAACAATGACCAGATTGTATTTTACTGATGAATGTATTCGTTAGTATTAGGGCAAAACTAACCTATCTCACGATGGTCTAAACCCAGCTCACGTTCCCTATCAGTGAGTGAACAACGCCTAGTGAACCCTGCTTCATAATAATAGGAAGAGCTGAGCTCGGAGGAGAAATCAAGCTAGGTGGCTTGTCATTGTGGTGATCAGAGGATCTATGTTTCTTACTTGTTGGCACTCGTCAACAGGGTGTATCTGCGATTTATAATCATATCACCTTGATATGATTATAAGCAATAAATTGTGCTCGAAACGTCATCAGTAAACATTACTGTATAACACTGTGAGACTTTATCTAAACAAAATTTACCCATAATGGAATAGTACTAGCTATTTTGATTGGACACTAGTAGCTAGTGTGATGTGTCTAGTCTTTTCTTTGGTGCAGACAGACTGAATTCTATCAGTCAGGTATTTGCAATGCGGCCACTATTCTAGGTAGCTCGCCATCATGGTGCACATTGATTTGATGATATTCGATAGTTGGAGGCTCAGTGGTAACATCTCTGACTGCAGCACTCACTGGGTGAGGTGGGTTCGAATCTCAGAAGGGACATGAATTCCTTCAAGGATGCAGATGCGCCTTGCTGACTAGTGAGTGCGAACTAGCACGAAACCTAGGTCGAGCAAGGCTTCCTGCCGTTTGCCTACTACTAGCTAATCGATTTATTGAATATTCTGACTGACGTAGTCGGTAATCACTCAGGCATTTCTTCACTGTAATATATACTGGCTTACGTAAAGGAATTACTAAACTATAATTATATTTGTTAATATTGATTAGTACTTTTTTTTTATTATCCCTTCTCTTCTGTTCCCTTTCACATTCTTTATTCATTTCACACTTTTACTCGAGAAGTGAAATATTTTCCTTTTTTATTTTTTGCTTACATTTGTTTGTGTCTCTACGCGCCCGCGTGCATTAAATATGTGTTTATGCGCCCGCCTTTCTCTCTCTCTCTCTTCTCTCTTGTTCAGTCCCTTGCTTCCTCTCTGTAGGGATAAATTTCCCCAGAAACATTTGAATTACATTTTTTATGCAGTATATATATGTATAATAGTGTTTCCCTTTCGTGCCTTATTATTTGACTTTTAATTAGAAATAAAATGAAAATTTTTTAATATTAGGAATCACTGCATATCTTTTTTTGCAAATTTTAATCATTTATATTTCGAGGGAAATAAATTTCTAGAGGAATGTTTTACCTTTTTTCTTTATTATTTTTCCTTTTAAAAATAGAAAAAACATTATTGCCAGTATCATGTGAACATCATATACACAGAATAGAATAAATATCCAGAAAAAATCCGTTAAATTCTCCATGATGAGAACAGATAGAGACAAAATGCCTAAAAACTGTGTTCATAAGAAACACAACCAATGAATTACTGGCATCAAAACTTTGGGAAATAAATAGCTAAAACATTCTCTACAGGATTTCATCATGAGACGACATCGGTTAAAGAACCATTGGAAAACCAGCAGGGAGTAGTACTGGACAGCTGCTTCGTCAGCCTAGTTTGGAGCTCTGCAGAAGCACTCGCTCACCGCCAGGGTTCGAACCCGTGACACCTTCTGGTTTACAAGGTGACCTCATGGACCACTGAGTCACTGGTATTCGATCCAATGGCTAGCCCATGAATTCCAACTTCTGCCAATTTATTATTTGTTTATCTGACATTATCGGATGGCACAGTGGTTAGGAATCTCGCCGACCATGCACATGGTCCGGGGTTCGATCCCCTGCCGACTCACATCCGATATCTATGGTCGGCCTGCAAAATTTGGGCTACCGATATCACATGCTGAAAATTCCATACCTGTACCAAAAAATACGGTGTGGAATCAAGCTGTAATCAAAAAAATATCAACATAATAATTTTCAAAGAAGAAAATCTAGAGAAAACCCTCAACCAAGAACACCAGTCAACGCTGATCACCGCAATTACATTGTCAAGTAGAAAACACAGAGAACAAATACGAAGATTCCTCAAAACCAAGCTAGCCAAGATTAGAAAACAACAACCAGACAATACACCTATTGACTGCATAGTCAACCTATCAAAACAACCACTATCAAAAACGGAACAACAACTACTACAAAAAGGATTAAACTACAACACCGGAGATGCCTCGAAGACTGATTTCTTCGCTGCTCTTGAATCATTACTCAAATCATCAAACTTAAAGGAGGAAACACAGGAAGAGATACGCCAAACAATTGTACCAATGGTCAAACACAAAAAACAACACACATAACTCAATTCTCAAGAACTAAAGGCTCTCAAAAAGCTGAAAAATAGCAAAGACATCGTCATTCTATCAGCCGACAAAGGAAGAACAACGGTAGGCATGGACAGAGAAGAATACACCAAGAAAGCTGAAGAACTACTCAAAGGCGAGGGTGTATATCAACAACTTTCAACAAATCCCATACAAACATTGGACAGCCGCATCCAAAGGACCTTGAACAAGCTCACCAAAACCGGACAGATCACAAAACAAGACCAATGGCGAATGAAATCCAATGGACCATTCCTACCCGGATTCTACGGCAGACCAAAAATACACAAGACAAATATCCCATTACGACCAATTGTATCGCTCCCAGGAACTCCAACCTATAACTTATCCAAAGAATTATACAGAAAACTGAAACACCTAACGGAATATTGTGATCACTCCATCAACTCTGCTATCCAATTTCTAGAGAAAATCAAAAACTTCTGCCAATTCATAACATAGCGCAACCTCTAACCAATGTCTTCGGCGAGTATTTGTCCTCACACCCGACTCTCTTTACCCTGAAGTACCCTAGAACCCAGGTAACTTACTACTTACCTGAATAGGGCCAGTCGCTAGTGAGCATCTCTAACCTGTGTCATCTCACGATGAAATCCTGTAACCAAATCAATCGAATCCCTACAAATCAATACTTGACTATGTTATAAATTTACCACTTGTTGTATAATTCCAATGCAGATGAAGGCTAAACTACCGAGTCTCACCACTTCAGTGTGCTTTTATAAATTTTATAACTGTTCTTGTGTAGACAATTACATAGGTGAAACGACTTGACAAGCCCATCGTCACCTTCTTGAACATTATCGAACATGTTCAGGTGAAGGAGTCGAAAAGTCAATCAGGCGTTTCATATTGGCATATCTTGTGGATACCCGGATCATAAAATTACTTAAAAAATATTCAGTCTTCAAAGGGTAGATGAGCCCAACTCCAAACGACACAGCCATCCGTTGTTAAGATCGCCTCTGTGTCGGGTCAACAGATACTACTGGTTGTTGTGAGTGTTCTTGAACTACTCATATCAATCAATCAATAAGTAGTATATATAGCGTCATGGGCTTATGCTTTTTGTTTCTTAATTCACACATTTATGTTATCAAGCAGATTACACACATTTTATGCTATCTGAATAATTTCAGTTATCAGTGAGAATTGTTGTGAAATTTGAGCTCGAACTATGTGTGATTACTGCATTCGTATGTAAGATGCTGCTACAGGACTGGACTACGTCAACTCCTAGCTTAGTGATAGACAGTGAGTGAAGTGATAGAACATGTTGACCACTTCATCTATTTGGGAAGTTGTATCAGCACCAACGGACTGATTGGTGAGGAAATCTCAGCACGGATCCAAAAAGCTCGAGCTGCTTTCGCTAACTTACACCATCTCTGGCGTAGGCGTGACATCCGGCTATCAACCAAGGGACGTGTGTACTGCTCAGCTGTACTGCTCGCTCCGTCCTTCTCTATGGCTCTGAAACATGGCCAATACGAGTTGAAGACATGAAAGGTTGACTGTTTTTGATCATAGATGTCTACGATCTCTTTCTCACGTTAGGTGGTATGGTATAATAAGGTAAGTAATGTTGACGTTAGGTTAGGCGTAGAGTGTTGGGTGGGCAAAGAGGGAAAATCAATCGAAGAGAAGAGGCTATAAAGTTACATAGATTGAGATGGTTAGGTGACGTGGTGCGCATGCCTAATCATCGCCTCCCCCTTGATCCGACGGGCATTACTAGCTAGCTGATATATAGGTGCAGGTTGGAAAAGAGTAAGTGAAGTGGTGGCCAAACAAAAACATGGATGTCATCAATCAATCCATGAAATCCTTCCTTGACAGTTAAACTGAGTCAAGTCAGGTAGGGAGATTCAGACTTCCGGGTTGGTTGGGGCCCGCCCTCGGGACTCTAAGAATCAATCCATGGCTGGAGACAGAGAGACAATAGGTGACATGGCTCAAAATCGTTGTCAATGGCTTACGCAGATGTATTCACAGACTCTGTAATATTCAGTCTCATATTCCTTTCTACCATTACTCATTCTGTTTCACTCTTATACTTGTCAAAACTCTATTGATTCTCTTCACTCATCTTCTTGTCTTGTCTACCTTTGTGTGGTATTTGGAACGTGGCAACTCGAACTGCTGCACTTCGGTGCGAAGTTCTATGTTGAATCCAGATAGATAGACTGCATTACCAATTTGGTTCTGCTAAGGTCACCTTTTATGATTTATATTATAAATTTGATTTTAAATATGGTCAATTTCATCGAAATTTATCTTTTACTGATTCAGCTACTACTAGTACTACCACTGCTGCTACCACAACTCCAAGTAGATCGATTCATCAATTATTAGTAAAATGGATTCAACCTATCCTGCCAGGTTTAAGTCAAGCTTGGTTAAGTGCACTAAAAGACTATGCCTATATGTGTCTACCAGACAATTTATCAAATCAGCAGCAGCAGTCAAGTGATGGGACAAAAAATTCATCTGATCACCACTTCAATATAAATATTAATAATAGCAATAATCTTGATCAGATACGCGTATATTATGCACGTTATTGGCCATGTATGACGTATGCACTTGCATTATGGTTAACAACAAATGAATCGCCAACGTTTGTTGATGAGAGTAATAAAACCAACAGTAAAAATGATATGTCGAAGTCATCACGTCATTTCTTTTTAATTTTAGGTAAGTAATAAATTATTACCATTTATTGTTATATATTATTCATTGTTTGCATTCCAAATGGGATGTGTGTAAGGCTTCAGCAGAAAATCTCTCTATTGTGAACTCACTTCCTTGGCATCATCACTTTTAGGTGGCTCCGCCACTACCGAAAAAAACTTCCATTAAACGATTTGATCAGGAATGAAAAACAGTTATGGAACCACTAACTGTTTCGTTCTAGTCCGGGACTCTTCAACAGTATGCACCCAGTAGTTGGGTTCGAATCTAGGACCTTCCGGTTACGAGACGAGCTCGTAAACCATTCAACCACTGGGACAGAATCTGATGGCCCGTAAATTCTAACTTCTGTCAATTGGAGATACATAGTGCAACAGTCAGCTAATGTCATAGACGATTAACTGGGATCTCACTAGAACCCTTGATAACTTCCTGTATAGAGCCAGTCGCTAGTAGTAAGCATCAGATAGATTGTCAAGTATTTGTTTCCAGGGATCTGAGTGGTTACAGATTTGATCATGGGGTGACTTCCATTTCATATGATCTTTTCCATGTGAGCCTTGGATTATTCGAGTTTCACTCTAATGCGTGTGATTGGTGGTGTTATTTGAATTCTTCCTCACAGTATGTACATCCCATTTCCATTTTCTTCTCGTTATTCGTGTTTGTGCTGCCGAAGTTTCTTGTTTCTTTTGCTTATCCTTTCTTGTCAATCATCTAACCTTCAGTATTGAGCGAAGGTAGTTGTTGATGAAGGTCTGTAGTAGCCTGTTGGTAATACTTCTTTTGAGAACTTGAGCACCAAGAGTCTTTGAACCATATAGAGAAGCACTGAATGACATTAGGTATAAATGGTTCACCTTAATCAACTTATTATCACTATTATTATTGAAATATTTTTATTTAAAAATAAACTAAACTAAATGGCTTTCTGTCAGAAATCAGCCAGTGGTCCAAGGAAAACGGTCTTACCTTAAACCCCTCCAAATACCAAACAGTCAATTTCACCTTGAGGCATAAATCCGACCTAAACAAACTGGTTGACCCTCACGAGGTGTGCAGCATTGATGGCACTGAAATAGAAACCAAGTCGGAAATTAAATACCTAGGCGTCATTCTATCTATCTGCTGATCTCTCCTGGTCATCTCATATCTTGACGATTTCTAAGAAAAAATATTCCGTCTTACCTTCTACATCAAGAAGTTAAGACGAATGTCTGGTATAACCCAACCCAACCCTTACTCCTACAATTCGTTAACTATCGCATTCTGCCTATTATTCTCTATTGTTCCCCGGACTCAGTTTCTCCCGGGCTACTGAAGAAAGACTATAACATCATATTATGCAGGATGTTAAAGGTTGTCAGCAGGGTAAGCAACGTGCCACTTAACCAGCTTGTTAATATTCTGGTTGACAGGCAGGCACATGGACTCATGTGAAAAATGAGCCAAATCCATTCTATCTAACTCACACCACACTCGCTCTTCACTCACAACTCTCCCCTTGCATCTATCTCATCAGGCAAAACCAGAAGCCTATATAGAAAACTACTATATGCTCGCACCAGCAAGCAAGTACAAAAACTCAACCATACCCTACTTAGCTCGTGTTCTGTGCTATAAAGAAGAAAGCATTAGGCGTGACACCTATAATTCATTAAATAGTCAGTAGAACAACTGGACCTCGTCTTTCCAACTGATATCATTTGTAGGTACAACATTTTCTTTCTTTCTTTTCCTTTTCTCTCTCTTTTTCTCTCCTTTTTTTCCGTTATGTGCTGCTTTATTTCTTTCTCTCGCTTACGCCAGTAAATATGACAGCACCTACTTTTCTAATACCTTCAAACACTGTTCAACTTTGGCTTTGCTACCGACATGCCAATATGTTGTTGTCATAATGAACTGAGATTTCCTTAATCTATGTAGAATTCTATTTATTGATAATGTACTAACTGGATGCAATACTGTAGTAAAAATGCTGAGAATTCCATTCTGTATCACAAGTACTGTTTTGGAATAAAGCAAATTAGTATTATTATTATTCCTTACTGATGCTTATAACCAGCCTGATATTCAAACGTTATCCACTGACGATATCAGTATGAGCGATATTCAGTGGGGGGGAAACAGAGCAGAGTCATTATTTAATCTCTGCAGCTACTTACATATATACACTCATAGATATCTATGCATGAAGGAATTATTCAATAAATAATTATTATTATAATAAATTCCAATTAATGCAGGTGCTTTTTGTATTTGTTCCCAGAGGCATTATTGTAAAATAAAAATAAGGACAAAATAACTGGGAGTGATGACGTCATTTGTGAGAAACATTTTGCATTTTTTTTTACAATTTATTCGAAATTATTCTACTCAGCATTAATGTTTAATAGTTTGTATACATACATACACAACTGAAACTAAACAGCAAGGGAGGGACATATAGGTAGAAATTATATTTGCTGAATAAATCTCAGCAAAAATGAAATTAAGTAATTCCAACGTTTCTTTTTTTTTGTTGTTGCAAATATCGATTATTTCTCTGAAGAGGTTCTGAGACCAGTTTGTGCTGAATGAAAGGTTGGAATTATTGAATTCGATTTCTCTGAGATTCAGTTTTTATAATATATTTATTTCTTCTTAGGTTCCGAGTGGAACTTAGGAGCTTTAGCAGCACAACTCCATCCTTTTCATCCTGTCATCCTCCTTAGTCCTCTTTAGCCTCTTCATTGGCTATAAGTTCTCATCTCATCCTCACACGATCTCTCTTCCATGTCCCCCTTTGGGCGCCCAACTCGTTGTCTCTTATTCGGATTCCACACGAAGGCGTGCTTGGAGAATGATTCCATTCAACGATCTCCCGCCCCCCTCCCCAGTGTCTATCCGATCCATCCATTGCTGAGATTTATATCAATATACAATTTTTACATATGTGTACTTTTTACTCGGCTGCCAATGTTGGTGGGGGGGGGGGGGGAGTATTCGGTCAGATCTTGATTAGGTTTCCTTCCTATAAATAACAGCTAGAGAATTTATGTATTATCTGACTACAATTTAAACTATTGTCTAAGAAATAAAGAAGTTCTTTTTGTATTTCCCAATGAATGAATGAAAAACAAAACGATATTTTTGTTTTTACTGACGTTTCTCTATTTAATGCTAATAATAGCTCCTCCATGTCACCCTTGCACTGACGTCCCACTCGCCACCGCTTCTCTTTCGGGTTCCACTCGAGCGTTGGCCTGACGCGCGATGTCACCCAGCGAGTGGCCTCCTCAGCCAGCGAGTGAGTGTCCAATCCATCTCCACTTTCTCCTGCATTTACATTTGTTGAACGATTGCTTCTTGTTTTGATTCTTCCCATAGTTTGTTTCTTGTTCTTTCCGGCGGCCATCTGATCTTCAGTATAGAGCCAGCGAAGATAGTTAGTTATTTGTTGATAAAGGTCTGCAACAGGCTGTTGGAAATATTCTTTATGACCTGCCGCCAAGTTTCTGATCCGTACAGACGTTTGTGTTGAAAATCTGAATTTTGTTGTTGCTGTTGAGAGTGACAGCGGAAGATTTCCAGATTGGTTTCAGGTTGATGATGAATGTGTTTCTCGCCTTCCTGATTCTCGATTTGACATTCTCGTCCGTTCCGTTCCTCCTGTAGTTGAGACAATGCTCCCTAGAAAAGTGAATGAAGTAACCTCTTTCATCAAATCCCTCCCGTTGATGGTGATTGGCGCTGGATGTTGCTTCTGTTGTTGTTGGTTGGCTATTTTCATAACCTCCGTCTTGTGTATGTTCACATGGAGTCCTGTCTTCTCCAGCTGCTTCTTCGACCAGTTTGTCGGTTTTCGCTTGTAAGTCTTCGATTTTGTGTGACATCAAACATAAATCATCTACGCGCGAAATCCAGGTCTTCTAGGTTCTTCACGTCGGTCCAGGATATCCATGTCTTCTCGTTTCCCACTGTCTGACGCATAACCCAATCCACCACAATTAGGAATATCACTGGTGATAATAAGCACCCTTGTCTGACTGCTGTGTTTACTCCAAACGCCTCGCTGAGTTCTCCGTTGTGGATCACTTGACATGTGCCGTTGTCGTACAGCTGTTTAATAAGGTTGATGAACATTTGGGGTACGCCGTAGTATTTGGGTAGTTTCCAAATTACTTCGCGGTCAACGCTGTCGAAGGCCTTCTCAAAGTCTATGAAGGAAGTTGAGGTAGAGATTTGATTGCCATTCCATGCTTTGTTCTGTGATGATGATGCGTGGAGTTGCAACTTGATCGGAACATGATTTGCCTTTCCTGAATCCAGCTTGTTCTGGTCGGAATTCTGTATCCACTGTGTCCTTTATTCTCTCCAGGATGATGCGAGTCAGAATTTTACTTGTTGTCGACAGGAGCATGATTCCTCCATAGTTCTTAGACTATATGCAACTTGAAAATTAAGTAGCGACAGAATTCACATCAACACTTATCTTTCGTTCCACTTTCAGTCATGACGGTGTCCTAGATGGGAGACTTTGAATAACAATTACATTCTTCTGAGTTCTAGTAGAATGACTGTATTACCGGACAATTGCTATTAGTGTATGTGTGTGTGATTTGCAGTATGACAGAAGTAGAGCTTCCACATTATCATGCATTCATATCAACCAACTTTTATGTCCATAGTAGATAGAACTTTAAGCAACTGAGCTATGTCAGTTATTACATAAGTAATGTGAAGGCTTAAGCTCTTGTTCAGGTCAGTGTAACAGCTACAAGTTAGCTAACTTCTATTTTAATATTATTTTGAATAAACTGTAAACAATAGTTTGCTTTATTCAAATTTATAAAGGGGGCCAAGTGTTTTTTGTTCTGTTTTCGTCTTATATTTTTTTATGAATTCTTTTGCGCTGCACACCATTTGCAAAAATAGGTCTGCTGTAATTAGTTCGGTTGGAGGGTCCAGGGTAAACTTCGTTATTAGCGGAAATTAGTTAGATTGTCTTACAGGATTTCCATCATGAGCTGACATTAGTTAGAGAACCATTGGAAAACCTGCAGGGAGTACTGGACACCTGTTTTGTCCTAGTTTGGAAATCATCGGCAGTACGCTCCCACCACACGGGGAGCGGGGGTTCCAACCCAGGACTTTCCGGTTACAAGGCGAGCTCGTATACTATTAGGCCACTGGGACCCGATCCAGTGGCCAGCCCATGAATTCTAACTTCTGCCAATTCACGACATAGCGCGACCGCTAGCCAATGTCTTCGGCGAGTATTTGTCCTCACGCCCATCCTGCTGCACCCTACTGGTCACGACTTCTCACTAGAGCCCCAGGTAACCACCTACCTGAATAGGGCAAGTCTCTAGTGAGCATCTCATTGATATTCAAGTGTTGGTTTGTGGGGATTTGAGCTGACATTAGTTAGAGAACCACTGGAAAACCTGGGAGTACTAGATAGCTGTTTCGTCCTAGTTTGGGACTCTTCAGCAGTACGCACTCACCGTGATTCGATCCCAGTACCTTCTGGTTACAAGGCGAGCTCGAGCTTAATGATGAAAATCCTGTAACGAATCAAATTCTTACAAACCAACACTTGACTAATTAGATTGTCGTTGAACAGCTGTCTTGTCCTCGCCTGGGACCCTTCATTAGCACATATCCGTGACCCCAATATAATTCTAAACCACAACTTTAAGCTTACTTGGTGAGTACTTCACCACTCAAACATGTGGTTGTGATTCGATGGCATATAATAAGTTCTATCTTCTGTCAGTTGGTTATGTATAGTGTTATAATCCATTGTCGTCGTTGGCACCGACTGTCAGAAGATAGAATTCACTAGGCATTGGATTACAACTGAATGGTTGAAGGGTAAAAGTGTGGTTACCTCAGTTTGTGAAGATCCCGGTTTCTGTGCATGATGGAATCAAAGGAATGCAAGGCTGACGACTTCCGAACTAAGATAGAAGGCTTATTCAATGCTCCCTGGTCGTTTTGGTGATGGAATTCGTCTTAAAGTTAGTTAATTCCCATTTATATTTTTCGAATTACACCTTTTTTATAATGACATTACCCCAGGTTGTACTAATAAAACACTATGAAGTAATAATGTTAATATATTGAAACTAATTTTCTATATTGATTTAATTTATTTACTGCTTCTCTTTCGCATTTTTTAAATTTTTTTCTCTAAAGGAATGTGCGTTGAAGCCATGTGTAATACAACCTCGAAACAGCCAATCTCTATAATTCATACATGTCTACGCTGTATTCTCTGCCTGTTAAGTCGATCAAAATTTCGTGCTTATCTTATGCAATCATCAACAGAAATATCTATTGAACTGTTACAAGTGCTACACAGGTAAGAAGTGATCACCTGATAAAACAAACATGTGAATGAAGCCTAATAATATTTATTATATGTGTGGTATGGAATACAGTCAACAAGAGAACAGATTAAGAGCAAGAGAGTAGAACTAGAACACTGTAAATTTTTCCTTTTTTTTGTGTAACTATGTGTCAGGCAGGTCGACTGATTTGTGATTGAATCAGCGATATCAGTGTTGTGATATGGTTCGTACAATATTTGTCAGTATGACTGTGTTTCATTCCTTTGCGTTCCGAGTAGAACATGGGGGGCTTCAAGCTCTAAGGTTTCATTTGACCGTAGTGTAGTTTTTATGGGGTAGAGTTGTTAGTCTCACATCCAATTTTCCATCTTTCCCGGACTTAATATCGACCAGTAGACTCGGAGGGGTTTTGGAATGGCATCGTCCGGGAATCGAACCCAAGGATACATGAGTGGTTGAACTATTGACATGTGTCATTGTGACTAACAATTCAAACTTTGATCGGTAGATAGACTTAAATTGATAATGAGAGTATCTGGGTTAGCCTTGGGTTGAAGGACTTATTAATGTAATAGATAATGTTTGAAGGTGAGATGGAAATCTGGTTCCTGCAGGACTTTCAATTAGTGGCATCCAAATTGGTGGAATTTATATATTAGATTGGTATGGCTGATTATCCTATACACTTAATTTTCGAACTAATATGCTCTTGAATTCACATTTCACATCAACTGTTTGAGTTCGGACATACTAATATGCAATGTCTGTAAACTCTGACGTCTTACAGTTAGATTTGACGCAAAGTTAGAAACATCAAAAAAGTCTAATAGTTCCATTATTCAAGTATTGGTTCCATTATTGTTGATGTTAGATGGTTGGAGACTATTGGCAGGAAGACTTGCTCGACCTAGGTTTCGTGCACTCACTAGTCAGCAAGGCGTATCTACAACCTTGAAAGAACTCATGTCCCTTCTGAGATTCGAACCCACATCATTCAGTGAGTACTGCAGTCGGAGACGTTACCACTGAGCTATTCAGGCTCGCGATTGACCTCCTGTAGGACTGCATTGGATATTTTTGATTGTACACTAGTCAGTAACTAGTGTAATGTGTCTAGTCCTATCTTCACTGCAGACTGAATTCTATTTAATGTTTAATTAGATTTCAGTAATTTCTCTGATTTAGCTGTGGTTTACACAGCGCAAAAGTCAGAAGAATCTTGTTTTAATTTTCTAAACATACTGGAATTATTTAACTGAAATTTAGATTTTCCCTTCGATTGATTGGACCGAAGTGCTCGGTCTCAGGTTGACATGTCGGCTTCTTGTGCAGATGCTTCAATGATTTCTGGGCATGTAATTAGAGTTTAATTTGTGGATTGTGACTGGCAGTGGAATCTAGGATGCGCATTTCGTCCTATTTGGGACTCGTCAACTGGGTGTACCTGAGTTCCGCAGTAAGTGATGATGTTCCAACCGAGGTTCGAACCCAGTGCCTATAGTTTCACTCACTAGGGAATGCAGGTAAATCCAGATGACGAGTCCCAAATGGGACGAAATGCACATCCTAGACTCCACTGCTAGTCACCATCCACCAATTAAATACTGGAATTATTTTAAGTAATTTTCTAATGATTCATTCTGACTCGCAAACATCTATGGTTGGCATATTTTAACTGTTTATAAATGAAATTATTGTATGCCGATCGACCTGAGCACGCCTGTACAATGTTTAAATTGTATTAAGCTGCTTGACAAGAGTTGCTGACTTATGTTAATGGTTGAAAATACAACTGTATGCAAGTACCGAGGCGAAGACCATTAAAAATAGCATTAGCACTTCAACTTGACTGACTGACTGACGGATTGACGGAGTTTCAGCATAGAACTTTGCACAGAAGTGTAGCATCATCTTAAGTTGCCAAACTCATATATATATCACACAAAGGTAGGGAAAAATTCAAAACATATATATATAGTGAACATAAATGTACGGGAGAAAGTGTTATTATTACATGGAGAAATATGAGGACGTAATGGATCCTGGAGATAACAAAGAGTAGTAGCATCCTGCCCGCGTTGATAACAGCTTTGAACTATATATCACCAATAGTCTCAAGCCATTGATCCTTAACATCTTCAACTTAAATAACAATGTGGAGTGTGTAGACACTTTAGATGATAAGGTTTCTGCGAGTTAGGTAGTTAGTTAAAGGGATAAATCTTTTTTTTGATTACAGCTTGATTCCACACCGTATTTCTTGGTACATCAGCAGCAATAATAATAATAATAAATGGTGTAATAATGTAGTTATTGTTGTTGTTGATTATTGAATGTTTAATGGCTTTATCAGTCAGTATATTTCCAAAAAATATCTGTGATATTCACTGTTGTAGACCCCGTTTTTTTATTTCTCCCATTTACGTTCTTCTTTTTGTTTTTGTGGGTGTTGTGTCAGTCGCTCTGATGTTTCTTTGTTTTTTCCTTATTAAAAGTTTATGATAACGAGATATAAGCGAAGGAACGAGGTACTTTCTTTTGCTTAAAACTAGGGCTACCAAAATCTTCCATATTAGTTTGTTTATTAGATATATCACACAGTCAGTGAAACAGTATTATTTACTGGATGACAAAGTTTCGAACAAAATTTATTGTTCATAATCATTTCATCAATTGTAATAATCACACGACTTTGAAACTTGATTTTTAATAGTTTTCTTTGTTTCAATTCACTTATGATGAATTGGAAAATCAGGAAGGGGAGCTTCCAATGTTAGATTGCAACGTAAAATGGAAAGAAGATGGGAAGTTAAACACATCAATGTGTTTACAGGAAACCCACACACTCAAACAGATATTTGGACTTCCGATCATCCCATCCTATGTCAGTAAAAATAGGATTGGTGAAATGTTTAAATGACAGAGCACAAAAACTAAGTAGTACCAAAGAAAATCTAAAACAGGAACTGATACACATAAAAGAAGCCTTGAAACTTAATAATTACCCGGATAAATTAGTCAGGAAATATGTAAGGAAATGTAAAAATAAAATAAATAATGATAGTAGCGATAGTGATAATAACAATAATAATGATGACAATAATAATAGTGATAATAATAATAATAATAGTATTAATGACGACACCAACAATAAGGAGTTTAAATCATCAGTAGTAATTCCATACAATGAAGCAACCTCGGAAGCCTTACGCAGAATTCTTAAGAAGGTAGGAATAAAAATGGCATTCAAACCCACAAACTCAATTAGAAACAAGCTTTGTCGGTTAAAGGATCAATCCTGTGGAGCCTTTAAAACAAAACAATTTAGTTTATCTAATACCCTGCCTGCAATGATTGTCAGGTCAAACACATAGGTCAAACCAGTAGAACAGGGACAGTCAGTCAGACTAGCCAAACATAAAAACCTAGCAAAATCTAGATTGGTTGACCCGAATAAGATAAGAAATCTAGAGAATAGTTCAGCTATAGCACTCACCACATGCAGTTACACACAACCATACAATATGCTGGATGGGATAGGATGACAGACAGTTTTAAAATCTAATGTCACAGGGTATAGGGAGAGATTGATAACAGAAGCTTTGTCTATCGAATCAACTGCAAATACATGTAATAGGAATGATTCATCACCTGTCCCCGATATCTGGAAAATTCTACTACCCCAACGACGACAAATAGGAGAGAACAAAGAAAACTATAAAACTCAAGCCTCAAAGTCGTGTGATTACAATTGATGACAAGATTGTGAACAATAAATTTTGTTCGAAACGTCATCCAATAAATAATACTGTTTCATTGTGTGATATATCTAATAAACAAACTAGTAGGGAAGTTTTGATTCACAAGTCAAGACGCTCTATTACCCTCAATACTGGATAGTGAATGGGTTCAAACCTTGCTCCATCTATCAGTATTTAGGCCGCTAGACAGTATCTTTTGGCTTTAAAAAGTTAAGCTTGCCCGATTGTCAACTGTTTGAAAATCCATCTGGTCGATGAGGCCTTCGTTTCTTGGCATCTGTAGTCGCGTAATCTATATATATAGATCAGCAACATCATTGTTCGTATGTCACTATTATTAATAATATCATTGTACTGTTTTCATGCCTTATTTATTTATTACTTATTTGCTTTTCTTTCAAATTCTTCATAACGCGATGAATCAATCCATCAAATAATCGATCATGTTAGACTTCTATTGACACGAGATTGTATTGAAACGCATTTATTATGCCTAGCCAATATGATTCATATACTGATAGCTGCTAATGAACGTTTAACTAAAGAACGTGATGATTGGTTAACTAAAGGTAAGACGAACATATAAATAATTGATTTTTCTTTTTTTTGCTTCTGATATTTTATTTTAAAATAAGGATTCTAGGAGGGTTCCAGATGAGGATTATGTGTTTCGTATCGATTATTATTGTTATTATTATTGTTCCCTTGGGTTCCTAGTGGAACATAGGGCTTCAACTACACATCTCCACTTGCTTCTGTCTTCTGCTGTACTTTTCACTTGCATCCATGTTAATCCATACTGTTTCAACTCTTCTTAACACGATCTCCTCCATGTCACCCTTGCACTGACGTCCCACTCGCCGCCGCTTCCCTTTCGGGTTCCACTCGAGCGTTGGCCTGACGCGCGATGTCACCCAGCGAGTGGCCTCCTCAGTCAGTGAGTGAGTGTCCAATCCATCTCCACTTTCTCCTGCATATTTGTTAGGCGATTGGTTCTTGTTCTTTCCGGCGGCCATCTGATCTTGAGTATAGAGCCAGCGAAGACAGTTAGTTAGTTGTTGATAAAGGTTTGCAACAGGTTGTTGGAAATACTCATTGTTTGTGACCCGCCGCTCAGTTTCTGATCCATCCGTATAGAAGAAGTGACTAACTTGACTGACGTTTGTATTGAAAATCCGAATTTTGTTGTTGTTGAGGAGTGACGAAGATTTCGAGATTGGTTTCAGGTTGATGAATGTTTCTCGCCTTCGCGATTGTCGATTTGACATCCTCCTGTAGCTGGTATCGATTCCTGAGGATTAAAATAATAAAAACGTGTAGTAGTGCCGTTCACTAGTGTCTAAGTGGGTCAATGTATGAGCATAACAATACCGAATGATTGAAATAGGCGCACACCTCAGGGGAATTCCGAATACAATTATTCTCCCCTTAATCCCTTCGGCTTCACTGAGCCATGAAAATTTCAGAAGATAACTAGCTGTTTTTGACTCTAAATTCCAGTTTATTAGATATATGTGTGTCATATATGGTATACATTTCCAACATATGAAATTTGACCAGGTCACTGGTCTGTCTGTCTGTTTCCGACATAGAACTTTGCACCGATGTGCGCCAGTTCAAGTCGCCACACTTCATTTAGCACACATATCAAGACAAGAAAGTAGAAGGAATGCATAATATAGACAGTAAACAGAGGTGTGAGACAAAGATATAGTAATAACGAAGAACAAAACAGTTTCATTGGAAATCATAAGTCACAAGGAGTGGATGCATCTGCGCTAGCCATTGACAACGATTTTGAGCTAACCATGTCACCAATTGTTTCCAACCATTGGTTTTTACCGTCTCGAGGACCCCAACCAGTCAGGAAGCCAGTCTACACCTTCCTACGTGGCTGGCTGGCTTAGACTAACTGTTGTAGATTTCATTGACTGGTGAAGCCATGTTTTTGTTTGACCACCGCTAGCTAGCTCTTTACCAGCCTGACCCTATATCAGCTAACATTGGCCATTGTCGAGGAAGGCGATGACTAGGCATGCATACGTAACACATGTCCTAACCATCTCAGTCGATGTAATTTCACAGCCTCGTCGATTGATTTCCCCTCTCACCTACCTATCACTCGACCGATGCATAACCTCAATATTACTCACCTTATTATACCACTTCACACGGGAGATAGAACGCAGACACCTGTGATTGAAGACAGCTAATCTTTTTATGTCTTCCACTCTCAATGGCCAGGTCTCACAGGCATAAAAGAGGACGAAGCGAACTGGTGAGCAGATGTCTACAGATATCAATAATCTGAGATAGTTATTGAATTGTATCTAATACGGTAATTGATTGTAATGTAGGTATTGGTCTGCCAGTGTGTAAACAGAATGCTGATTGAAGTCGGAAAAGTAGCTTTAGTCTGTAGCTGGATTTAAAACACAAGTCTTCGGAGTATAGCTTTCAGTCAGCAATGTTTCTCGGACTCTGTGGTGTACTATATTAAGTAAAAGTTCAATCGGTACTTAAATTTCAGGTGACTATTTGAGTCAATCAATCAAGTTGAGCGTACGCAAAAAAGCGTTCACTAACAGCACTCGACATCGATTGCTCTGTGTTACACAGATCAGCAGAAGCTGGGAGCCAGTGTTCACTAAATTGTGCAACTCAATGATTTCATGGGTAACATGGAATTCATTTTATAAACGGGCAGTCAATCCTAGGCTCAACTCGTCGTTGTGATGTACAAATAGATGTACGCCTTTAGGAAGTCGAAAACTTTTTCTTTCTATAGTGATCTATACGTCTACCTTGAATTTACTTCATAAGTGAGGATGGAGTTCCCACCGATGACATTGGTTGGTGCCAGTCGCGCTAAGATCACGAATTGGTAGAAGTTAGAATTCATGGGTTGGCCATTGAATTGGTCCCTCGTGGCTTAATCGTCTGCAAGCTTGCTGGCCTTGTAACCGGAAAGTCCTGGGTTCGAACCCCCGCCCCCCATGTGGTGGGAGCGTAGTGTTGGTAGTTCCCAAACTAGGCTGATGAAACAGCTGGCTGTCCAGTACTCCCTGGTTGGTTTTCAATGATTCTCTAACTGATATCAATCCGAAGTCAAACTCGACAAAACAAATCTAATCTTTACAAAAACAACTTATAATTATATGCTTAAATTTTTGTCAGTAAACAGACGTTTACGTTAACTATATGGCTTACTTTTATCGCTAAGATCAGGGTGGAATGAGTTTTGCATACTACGTATTTTAAGTTTACACATAACATTCCATTCCATTCCATTCTTGTTTGGATGATAAGTAACCATGATAATCTCTGTGGGCGTTACGAAGTTTTGGGATAGATATGGATTAACAAAATTTTTAAAAACTTGTGAAAATTTCCCTTTTTAGACGAGTGTTAATTGATTTTATGAAATTGTGAAATTATGAAACCTAACTACTCATGCTACTCAGTCAGTAGTATATATATGGAGTAGTGCATTTGCAATTAATAGTGTTCTCTGAGCTGGTTGGTTTAGTTGCGGAGCTTTCGTCCTCCTTCTGGACAACATCTTCAGCGCAATATTTGGTTTAAAGTGAAATGATTTAAATTTCATCAGTGATATAATTGCGTCGCCTGGTAACTATCTTTACATATGTATTGACCATTTTCTATTGACTTGGAGACGCAATTGTATCACTGATGAAGAAATTTAAATCATTTCACTTTATGCTAAATATTGCGCGGAAAGGGGATGTTGTCCAGAAAGACGATGAAAGCTCCGCAACTAAACCAACCAGCTCAGAGAACACTATTAACTGCAAATCATTCACCTGAGCTACAAATCTTCTCTATTAGTAGTGCATTTATTGTCGCCTTCTTGATTACCATTTGTGGTATCATGTTTATCACATATTGTGTGTGTGTGATCTGAATATTTCTGGTTTCCTCAAGAAACTGTGGTGAAATTTTACCACCTTGGTTGGTAGAAAATCGCAAATCAATCTGCGAAACTAGGAATTTGATTGAATGGCATTTTTAATCTCTTGTATAATGATAGAAGTGAATCAGTCATTGAAGGCTAAGAACTATTCAATAATGAGATAACCAAATGGAATACCCCCTGAAGCACTGAAAGCGGACCCAGAGACGACAGCTGACTCCACTATTGCAAAAGGTCTGGAAGGAGGGAAAGGTGCCTTCTGACTGGAGGAAAGGTTACCTTATAAAACTACCAAAGAAAGGCGACTTAGGACTCTGCAAGAACTGGCGGGGAATCGTGCTCCTGTCGACGCCAAGTAAAATTCTGAGTCGTATCATCCTGGAGAGAATAAGGGACGCACTGGATACAGAATCCCGACCAGAACAAGCTGTATTCAGGAAAGGCAAATCATGTTCTAACCAAATTGCAACTCTACGCATCATCATCACAGAACAAAGCATGGAATGGCAATCAAACCTATAACTCAACTTCCTTCATAGACTTTGAGAAGGCCTTCGACAGACAGCGTTGACCGCGAAGTAATTTGAAAACTACTCGAGTACTACGGCGTTCCCCAAATATTCATCAACCTTACTCAACAGCTGTACGACAACGTCACATGTCAAGTGATCCACAACGGAAAACTCAGCGAGGTGTTTGGAGTAAACACAGGAGTGAGACAAGAGTGCTTATTATCACCAATGATATTCCTCATATTTTGATTTGACACTAGTAACTAGTGTGATGCATCTAGTCCTCTCTTTGGTGCAGACTGAATTCTGTCACTCAGGTTGTAATGTGGCCACCATTCTAGGTAGCTCGCCATCACAGTGTACATTGTTTGTGATGATATTAGATGGTTGGAGGCAATCGGCAGGGAGCCTTGGAACTAGGTTTCGTGCTAGCTGTTACTCGTCAGCAAGGCGTATCTGCAACCTTGAAGGAACTCATGTCCCTTCTGAGATTCGAACCCACGTCACCCAGTGTTGCAGTCAGAGACGTTACCACTGAGCTATTCGGGCTCGCAATTGACCTCATTGTGGTGGACTGGATTATGCGTCAGACAGTGGGAAACGAGAAGACAGGGATATCCTGGACCAACATGAAGAAGAACCTAGAAGACCTGGATTTCGCGCGTGGATGATTTATGCTCGATGTCACACAAAATCGAAGACTTACAAGCGAAAACCGACAAACTGGTCGAAGAAGCAGCCAGAGAAGACAGGACTGACTCCAGGTGAACATAGACAAGACGGAGATTATGAAAATAACCAACCAACCAACAACAACAGCAGCAGCAACATCCAGCGCCAATCACCATCAACGGGAGGGATTTGAGAGAGGTTACTTCATTCACTTATCTAGGGAGGGAGCATTGTCTCAACTACAGGAGGAGGAGGAACGGACGAGGATGTCAAATCGAGAATCGGGAAGGCGAGAAACACATTCATCAACCTGAAACCAATGTGGAAATCTTCCACTGTCACTCCTCAACATCAACAACAAAATTCGGATTTTCAATACAACCGTCAGTCAAGTCAGTCACTTCTTCTATACGGATGGATGAGAAACTTAGCGGCCGGTCACAAAGAATGAGTATTTCCAACAGCCTGTTGCACACCTTTATCAACAACTAACTAACTGTCTTCGCTGGCTGGCTCTATACTGAAGATCAATCAGATGGCCGCCGGAAAGAACAAGAACCAACAAGAAACAAACTATGGGAACAAAGAAAACAGGAAGCAATCGCCCAACAAATATGCAGGAGAAAGTGGAGATGGATTGGACACTCACTGGCTCGCTGAGGAGGCCACTCGCTGGGTGACATCACGGGTCAGGCCAACGCTCGAGTGGAACCCGAAAGGGAAACGGTGAGTGGGACGTCAGTGGAAGGGTGACATGGAGGAGATCGTGTGAAGAAGAGTTGAGGCAGTATGGATTAACATGGATGGAGGTGAAAAGTACAGCAGAAGACAGAAGCAAGTGGAGACGTGTAGTTGAAGCCCTCTATGTTCCACTAGGAACCCAAGGGAACAATAATAATAATAATAGATATTCATATACAATTACACTTAGTTTGAATTGGAATGAAATGAGTTCATTTGTAGACTTTATCGCAAACTGGCATCACTTATAGAATTATTAAAAAGTGAAGAGCGGTAAACACTTATTCCTTCCCAGCTTGGAACTCTTCATCAGCATGCATCCATGACCTCCGGTGGGGGTCGAACCCAGGGCCTTCGGATAACAAGTGGAGCTCATTGACCAGTTGGCAACTTTTATGGAGTCCAATGGTCCATCAATTCTAACTTTCAGTCGATTTGCGAATTTTTTACCCCAATGTCATCGTGAAAGGATGACAGGAGAGCTTGTCCTAAAGCTTTTGGAAGTCCTTGTGATTAAGAAGTTTAAACCAACACTTAACTGTTCATAAATAAGTCATCACTACATCAAACCTTCCCTGGTAAATTTCGTCTAGAATGCAAAATCAATGTACTGTACCTCTCTTTCTCTCTACCCTCCCCCGTCTTTTTCCCTTGTTTATTGATCTTCCTTTTTATTTTACCCTTTAAAACACTTTATTCAGACATCTATAAAACACAAAATAATCGAGCAAACAATATTCTTTTCGATAAATTCCTCTTCTAGGCTTTACAATTATATAAGCATATGTTTATATACATAGAATATTTTAAATTAGTAGTTAATAACAATATTAGCGTTTTTTAAATAGTATCGATTTGTAAAGTATGATCACGATGGAATTACGGTTCATTAAAGATGCTTAAATTATAATAATAATAATAATAATAATAATAATAATCAACATATAGCAGCGAATAAAATATCAACTAAAATTAGGGAAATTTCACAAAAATCCTGGATTATTCAAACCTGGATGGCCAAGTGGTAATGATAATGACACAACTAACTTCTTTTGGATGCATAAATTAGACTTGTTAATATGGATCCCCACAGCCTCAGCAATGTTTAGTAGTCGAACTCTTAAAGCAAAATTGAGATTCGTAGGTGTGCGGTAAATGACCCTGAAAGCATGACTAACGTCAATCTTGTGTTCCGTCTCCACAAGATGAGACAGATTAGCACTGCGAATAGATTTTGTTTGTCCTTTGCTTAACCACTATGCAGGGTGATGTTCGGAAATTCGACGAGAAACTCGCCTAATTGTACGGCCTATGTAACTGGCTCACTCCACAGGAGCAGTTAAATTGGTATATACACATGGAAGAGGCGAAATTAGGCAGTTTGTCTTTTATTCCCGAACGCAGAGGAGGAGTAGTTTTGAAGATACAGCGTAATTATTCTGTGTATATAAACATATATATAATTGTAGAGACTAGAAGAGGAATTTATCGAAAAGAATATTCTTTGCTGGATTATTTTGTGTTTTATAAAATGCCTTACTTGACGTTTACTTAATTCTCTCACCCCTTGCACCATTGATACTTTTTTCCGTATAAACTCCGATGATAAGTACGTATGTGATTAGATTGTTCAAAGTGTGTTGAGGAAATGCATTAGAGATAAATAGATATATATATTCTAAACTTCCTAAGGGGAATTAATTCTAAAATTTCTCAATGTTAGTTTGTACATATATGACTGACTCGCTCACGGATTGTTTCGTCCCAATCTCGGACTCTTCAACGGCTCGCCCCCATAACCCCACTGGTTGACCACTTATCCACTGAGTTGGAATTAATGACCGATGAATTATAAATTCTGTCAGTTCGCGTGATATAACTACCGCCAAACAGTTCCATTGGTACGCATCCTCGTCACACTGGCATAGTAGATCCCATTGGCTGTGACTTCTTGACAAAGTCTATATTAAAATTATTTATTCATCAATCCAAATACCGGTAAAATTTGAAAAAATCGATTTCCTCCTGAAGATGTTTCAGTTTATCACTACAATGTTTGATTATTTACGATGTCTACCTACATATTGAGTTGGGTTTTCGAAGTGCCATGGATTGATTCCTTTAAGGTGGCATAATATGAATGACAAGGAAATCAAATAATTATTGATTTTTCGTTTCACTGATAAGTTGACAACATCGATTTTTTTAATTTTTAAAGAATATCTTAAAAAGTTTTTTCTCAGATAGATTATTATAAATGCTTAAAACGTGTAATTATTTTATTTCTGAACATCTGGCTATATTTATTCTTTTTTTTAACGTGTTCCATTCTAGGGTAATGGTATTTTTTTGAAAGAAAGTTGACTCTTTTTGTTTTCGTAAAAGGGATGCACTGATATAATACCACTAGGAAGTAATCAAGGCACTCTACTCAAACTCACGTAGCTGTGTAAGGGCTTATGGGGAATTGTCATCTGAATTGTTAACAACCAGTGGTGTCCGTCAACGATGTCCACTCTCCCCATTCCTGTTTAACTTCATCATAGATATGCTAATGGAAGTATCCTTAACTGAACCTGACGCCTTAGGAATCGACTTGTTACCAGGGTATAGTCTTATGGACTTCGAATATGCAGATGACATAGTCCTGTTAGAGGTGGATGCTGACAAAATACAGCAGTCTTCTGAACACCTTGAGCACCAATCTTCGTATGTTTGGCATGCGATTCGCCCCTGTAAAATGTAAGATGCTGCTACAGGAATGACTGGACTACGTCAACTCCTAGCTTCGTGGTAGGGAGTGAAGTGATAGAACATGTCGACCACTTCACCTATTTGGGAAGTTGTATCAGCACCAACGGACTGATTGGCAATGATATCTCAGCACGGATCCAAAAAGCTCGAGCAGCTTTCGCTAACTTACGCCATCTGTGGCGTAGGCGTGACATCCGACTATCAACTAAGGGACGTGTGTACTGCTCAGGAGTTCGCTCCGTCCTTCTCTATGGCTCTGAAACGTGGCCAATACGAGTTGAAGACATGAAAAGATTGACTGTTTTTGATCATAGATGTCTTGGATCTCTTTCTCACGTTAGGTGGTGTAATAAGGTAAGTAAGTAATGTTGACGTTAGGTTAGGCGTAGAATGTTGGGCAAAGAGGGAAAATCAATGGAAGAGAAGAGGTCATAAAGTTACATAGATTGAGATGGCCAGGTGACGTGGTCCGAATGCCTAACCATCGCCTCCCCCACCCCCACCCCGACGGGCATTACTAGCTAGGTGATGTATAGGTGCAGGTTGGAAAAGAGTAAGTGAAGTATGGTATGTATTGCACTAATCAAGGCACTATACTCAAACTCACGTAGCCATGTACGGGCTTATGGGGAATTGTCATCTGAATTGATAACAACCAGTGGTGTCCATCAAGGATGTCCACTCTACCAATTTCTGTTTAACTTCATCATAGATATGCTTATTTAAGTATCCTTAATTGAGTAATGTAAATATCAGGATCCTAAATTTTCGAATCTGTTTAACCACTATTTATTCATCCATTTTTATCGGTAATAATTGCACTGAGACTGAAATCCTTTACAGCCATAGTATATCATAATAATAATAATAATAATAATAATAATAATAATAATAATAATATGCTTTATTCCAAAACAGTAATCGTGATACAGAATGGAATTCTCAGGATTTTTACCACAGTAGTGCATCCAGTTAGTACATTATCAATAAATAGAATTCTACATAGATTAAGGGTAGTCTCAGTTCATTATGACAACAACACATTGGCATGTCAGTAGCAAAGGTAAAGTTGAACAGTGTTCATAGGTGTCAGAAAAGTAGGTGCTATCATATTTACTGGCGTAAGCGGAAGAAAGAAACAAAGCAGCACATAACGGAAAGAAAGAAAAAAGAGAGAGAGAGCGAAGGAAAAGAAAGAAAGAAAATGTTGTACCTATAAATGATATGAGTTGGAAAGACGAGATCCACTGGTTCTACTGACTATTTAATGAATTATTGGTGTCACGCCTAATGCTTCCTTCTTTATCGCACAGAACACGAGCTAAGTAGGGTATGGTTGAGTTTTTCTACTTGCTAGCTGGTGCGAGCATATAGTTTTCTATATAGGCTTCTGGTTTTTCCCGATGAGATAGATGCAAGGGGAGAGTTGTGAGTGAAGAGGGTGGTGTGAGTTAGATAAAATGGATTTGGGCCATTTTTCACATGAGTGCATGTGCCTGTCAACCAGAATATTAACAAGCTGGTTAAGTGGCACGTTGCTTACCCTGCTGACAACCTTTAACATCCTGCGTAATATGATGTTATAGTCTTTCTTCAGTAGCCCAGGAAAAACTAAGGGGAAGGGGGAACAATAGAGAATAATAAGCAGAATGTGAGTTAACTAATTGTAGGAGTAAGGGTTGGGGGTTATACAAGAATGTCTTAACTTCTTGATGTAGAAGGTAAGACGGAATATTTTTCCTTAGAAATCGCCAAGATATGAGACGATCAGGAGAGATCAGCAGATGGATAGAATGACGCCTAGGTATTTCATTTCCGACTTGGTATGTTTGATATGTGTTTATTTATTTATTATGTACACCGCACTAGCATAACTTCGTCTGTATGTTGTGTTTTTGCTTGGTATTTTAATTTATTTTTTTTTCTATATAGAATCATCATCATCAAATAACAATGCTACAAGTATGTTCATTTCACCAGAATTGAAAACATCCAAAAAGAATTGTATGATGACATCGAGTATAATGCTCCAGACAACCGGTCTAATTGATGCACAAATGTATGAACACGGGGAAGGTGGATATTTAGCGAAATTTTTTGATCGAATTAATGATGCTGACAATGTCGATTGTGACAACAACAACAGCAACAATACTACAACATCTATTGAGAAGAATCAAACGATGATGACTACATCAAATAAATATGGGAAAACATTTGCTGGCCTACATCCTGAACGATCGATTGTATTCACGTGTTTAGAGATTGTTGTCTGTATAGTGGCACGTTATCAACCACAAATTATTAAACAATTACGTCTTTCAAATACAGATAGCAATAACAATAATAATAATGAGTCAAAAAGTAAGTTTGGGGTTTTTTACTTTATCAATGTATTTTTATATTTTCTAAAGTTTGGTTTGTAAGGGTTTGTTATGTTTTTACGAGTTGATCACGGACTGATATCAGTTAGAGAACCATTGAAAACCAGCATGGAGTACTGGACAGCTGCTGTTTCATCCTAGTTTGGGAATCATCGGCAGTGAGCACCCACCGCCAGGGTACGAACCCAGGACCTTCCGGTTACAAGGCAAGCTCGTATACCATTCAGCCACTGGGACCCGATTCAACGGCTCATGAATTCTAACTTCTACCAATTCGTGATTTTAGCGCGACCCCAACCATTGTCGTTGGTGGGACATCCATCCACACACGTGACATCTAATTGGACCTCACTGGTCACTTCTCACTAGAACTCCAGGAAACTCCATCCTGTATCAAGTCACTAGCCTCCAAAGCTTCAGGATGGTCGGGGGTGGGTGCCTTGCGCTGCGGGTTGGCCACCCCTCCGCACACCTCTTGAAATGCTCCCATACGACCGGGCGTCTTACATAGCCTCTCTTGAGGAAGTCCTACTCACTGCCTTCACGTGGCGGAGGTGTTTTCCACCAAAGTGAGAGGGCAAAAGTGGATGCCCGGCGCTCTTCACCCGGTTGACTGTCCATTGGATGACAGTCTAGGGGAGATGGCTAAACCCTGATTCCAAACCTCCTACGACTGGCGTATGAAGCTCACTGGAGCTCACCGGCAGACGTATGGACAAAGGGCTTGTTGGATGTCTTGGATTTATGGCCCCATTCAAAAAGGCGTATGAACCGAACTCCGGTCACCGGCTTCCAATGGATAGTGGACTCCGTACTCCACTCTCACTGCCTTGTAGGTCACACTTGGTTGTGTAAAGGCTAGAGCTGCACTCTAAAAGAAGAGGCCGAGAGATTCTGGAGACATCACTCGTACCAAATTCCCATGAAACTTCATGAACTCTCTCCAACAACGTCTCCTTCGGTGGTTTGGTCATGTTCTGCGCCGACCAGATGACGATCTGGTCAGATCAGTTCTAAATCTCTCGCTATTACCATCTTGGCGATGCCGCAAAGGTGGACAGCTGAAAACATGGCTTGGTACAGTCAAGGCTTATATGGAGTGCCTGGGGCTACAAACCGTCTACGGACTCCGTCTGTGGAACAAGAATTGGATAACCCTGTCGCAAAACCTTGCTTCAGATCGCCGCGCCTGAGCAGCGATGATTCGAGATGTTCATGAAGCCGGCTCATCCTCCCGTAGGAGATAGCCGAAGTAAAGTAAGTAAGTACTAGCGAGCATCAGATTAATTTTCTAAAGTTTGGTTTGTAGGGGTTTTTTATGTTTTTACGAGTTGATCACGGACTGATATCAGTTAGAGAACCATATTATAGGTTTCCAGGCCGTAGGTGTTACGAACTTCCTGGAATAACTTGAGCGCCGAGTCAGATTGATTCATTATAAATTATTTAAATTAATCCCTGCGTGTTAAGAAAATCAAAACAAGATCTGTTTTCTGAACGTTTCGCTGTGTAATCCCCAGCCTCTTCATCAGATTTATTCGGATTTTTATTAATCATCAAAATATATAGTCAAAAATTTTACACAAATTGAAGTCAGTTTATTTGAAGGTCATTTGTCCATGGACATTTTTACCAATAGAAAATATGTAAGCAGTCATTACATATATTTGTAATGACTAATGTCAAATTGATATCAGTAAAAAGTTTGAGCATTGTGGAGTAGATTAAATAAAGTATAATTACATATTTCAATAGTTTACACACAATGATAAGTTTTGTTATTGGTAATATTTCCAGCAAAATTACTGCCCGTGTTCACACCACTATTGGAATTGTTGTTGCTGTTGTGTTCACTCTTCTATAGTTAATTTGTATAGATTAGTTTTTTATGAGTGTGTGTGTGTGTGTGTATGTATGTTATTTGTCGTATGGAAAATACGTGAATTCATATGTGATAAACATGATCCTACATATTTTAAAAGGTCATGGAGGCTCATAGTGTTTATTGATTTTTTCATTTGTCTTGCTTCATAAGAGTTTGCCATATAGGTGATAATCTATCTCATCTTTCCTATTCACTGCATTCGATGTGGTTAAGATGTGCAAGGCTTCAGAAGTCAATCTTTCTTTATGTGAATGAAATCCTCTTCCAAGAATTTCGACATTGTCGAAATCAATCTTATGTCCGCTGTCTATAGCATACATTGCTATAGCTGATCTTTTTTCTAGACGTTTTAGTTCTACTTCATTTCTAGGTGGACGTTTCGTGCATAGTCTATGTTCATTCACTCTGACCTTCACCTGCCTACTGCTCTCCCTTATATAGCATGCATCACATTCTGAACACTTTACCTTGTAGACACAATTACTTTGTGACATTTTGGGAATTATATCTTTGGCATGCACCAGCGCTTTCTCCAGAGAATTAGAAGGTTTGACATAGACTTTAATATTATATGAGGCAAATAGTCTTTGAAGTTGTTCAGCTGTGTCCTTTCAGTATGGGATGGCTATCGTCGATAGCCAGGATTTTTCAATTTTTTGTTTTCCCTTATGCTCCTTTCTATTGATAATATTATCTAGTAGCTTTTCAGGATAACCATTTCCAATCAAAATCTGTTTCAACAGCGAAACGTTCAGAAAAATCTTGTTTTGATTTTCTTAACACGCTGGGATTGATTTAAATAATTTATAATGTATTTTTATATTTTTTGTATTTTTAAGTGTTAGTTCCAAGTTCGATCACAGATTGATATCATTTAGACAACCATTGGAACTCAGGGAGGGAGGGAGTACTGAACAGGCGTTTCGTCCTGATTTCGAACTCTTATTCAGCATACAGCGAACCCCAGGACCTTTCAAGCTATGAGAGGCGGTTTCGTTATCCATTCACAGTTACTGGAACGAAATCCAATGACTTATGAATTTTAAGTCTTGATGATTCGTGATTTATGACATCATCGCCAGCCACCTGAAGGCTCTGTAGTCATCGGTGCACGCTTCTGAAGAGCCCCGAACTAGGACGAAACAGATGTCCAGTGCACTCTGGTTATTAATAGTTCTCTAACTGATATCAATTCGTGATCAGTTGGCTTTTTTTTTTCATAGAAGCATTCATTTACTTCTCGCCAGTTACCTTTCTTTCTATATTTCTGTTCGTCTCAGTGTAGAAGTACTCGGCTAGTAAAAGAATAGGTACTGGACTCATTGTCTCTAAATTTCGCGTCCTGGATGCGTTCTTCGTCTTATTTGGGGAGTCGTTGTTCGGATGTGCATACATTTCCGGTGAATGATGTTGTCCCCACTAGGAATGGGACCCAACAACTATCGCCTCAAACACCAATGTGTTATCCGCCAGATAACTGGGCCGCAAGAGCCAATTCTGATGTGATGAGTATCTGTGAATTGTTTTTAATTTACTTAGTGTTTCCCGTTGACTAGTTTACATTAAGCTGAAATGCTCACTATCTGTTGATGTGTCGTCTACTGGTACGTACACTTCGATGAAAGTTGAACACTAAAACCTCTGTGAATCATACTTGAATTGATTAGATGAATTTTTCTGCGTATGGATAGTTATTTCTACCTAGTTTAGCACTCATCAAGCTTAGAGAGTTATTTAATATTCTAAAAAAATAAGTGAGCCTAATGGAATAAATTAATTCATTGACCAACCTGTTAGATTTGGGAAGTACCATCAACCCCAACGGGTTGATCTCTGACGAAATCTCAGTACGAATACAGAGGGCTAGTTTCGCATATGCCAGTTTACGCCGTCTCTGGCTTAGTAGATGTGATATCCGGTTATCAACCGAAGGGCGTGTGTCCTCCTTTTTGCTTGTGAGACCTGGCCATTGAGAGTGGAAGACATGAAAAGGCCGGTGGCTGTCTTTGATCATAGGTGTCTGCGTTCTATCTCCCGTGTGAAGTGGTATAATAAGGTGAGCAATACTGAGGTTAGGCATCAGTCGAGTGCTAGGTAGGTGTGAGGGGAAATCAATCGACGAGGCTTTGAAATTACATCGATTGAGTTGGTTAGGACATGTGTTACGAATGCCTAGTCTGGCCATCGCCTTCCGCGACAATGGGCAATGTTAGCTGATATAGGGTGGGTCAGGCTGGAAAAGAGCTAGCTAGTGGCGGTCAAACTAAAACATGGCTCCACCAGTCAATGAAATCTACAACAGTTAGTCTAAGTCAGCCAGCCACGTAGGAAGGTGTAGACTGGCTTCCTGATGGTTGGGGTCCTCGGGACGGTAAAAACCAATGGCTGGAAACAATTGGTGACATGGCTAGCTCAAAATCGTTCTCGATGGTTGGCGCAGATGCATCCACTCTTTGTGACTTATGATTTCCAATTTAACTGTTTTGTTCTTCGTTATTACTTTTCCTTTGTTTCACACCTCTGTTTACTGTCTCTAATATGCATTTCTTGTAGTTTATTCTCTTGCTTTGTATGCTACATGGAGGGAGTGTGGCGACTTGAACTGGTGCACATATGTGCAAAGTTCTATGTCGAAAACAGACAGACAGGCAGACATGCATTTACTTCATCATATTTGTCTGGTAATTGATTCTTATATTTGTTCATTGCCAGGATTTCTTGTTGCTAATCCTCTCTGGCCATCCGATTTTTCTGAGTATGGAACGAAGACAGCTGTTGTTGAAAGCCTTCAGTAGTGGGTGGACTGTTAGAAATGCATTTAGTGATGTGTAGTGCTCCAAGTGTTTGAAACATACAGAAAAAAAAACCGACTTGACATTCGTGTTGGAAATTCGGATGTCGTTTCTAATGCTGAAAGCAGCAGCTATCTTTCCACACTGATTTCAGAGTAATTCAGGTCTCTCTTGCTTTCCCGACCCCCTATCCTGTCTGTCTTTCACATCCTCATCTGTGTTGCCAGTAGTTGAAACAATGTTGTCTAGATAAGTGAGAGTGAGAGAGAGATAGAGATAACTTCTCCTATTGATAGTGTCTGG